TCTGGCAAACCTTTGCCTCGCACGATCCTCTACTTCTATGACAGCACTGAACGTACTGCAGCGTACTAAGAGAGTATTTGTGTGTGTGAGAGAGAGTTTAAGTGTGATGTTGTTGTTGTTGCTTGGTATTATTATTTTTTATTTTTTCTTACTACTGTTAAAGTTAGTGCAACGCTAATATGCTGAGCAGCGCTACCAACAAACTGATCAATTTACAAATATAGACATGCTAGTTGTATTTTAAGAGTCGTACTTTTTGGTTGTTGTAAGCGCGTAAAATAGGAACAAATTTAATATGAAAATAAAATTTTATTAAAAGAAACAAAAATTAAACGAATTAATAAAAAACAAAATAATAATAAAAACCTAAAAAATTATTAAAATAAAAAATGGAATAAAACAAACAAATTTTATAAAAAATAAAACAAAATTAAATTTACCAAAAAAATTTTTTAAACAAATTTCGCTTGTTGAGAAAAAGTTATATTTCAAGTGAATTTGGCTGAAATTAAAGTGAAAAATAAAACAATTTTTAAAGATTTTTTTGTTTAAAAAAAATATCTGAAAAAGCAGTTTTCTATTAAACAACAGTTATAAATCGATTCACAAACGATTTTACCTTTGACAAAAAATACAAAACAAAACAACTCCAAAAAAAGCCCGTTTTTTGTTACGATTTCTGCTGCTTCTTCTTTAAATTTTTTATACATTGTGTGCGAGTTTCGATTTACCCCCTCAAAACGCTCCTCTCCACGGCTCCCACAAAAAAAGTGTTGATTTTTTTTTGTTGGTGTTTTATTACGGTTGAATTTTTCGTTGGTTCAAGAGAGTCGAATCGCGTAGAGTCGAGTCGAGTCAGTCAGTCACTTTACTTTAGTTGTCTCAATATTAATTATTTGAATGTATTAATATTGTTGTTGTTGTTGCTGTGATTTGTTCAGTTAAAAAGTGTTAGTGTATGAGTGTTAAAGAGTATTAAAGAAAACAAAAAAAATATATAATAAAAATATAAAAATTTAAGTAACAAAAACAAAAAAAAAAAAAAAAAAAAAAAAAAAAATTAATACGTTGTTGTTGTTGTGTGTACTTAAAAATAAAAGCAACAACTTTTGTAGAAAAAAATTTAAAAAAAAACAACAAAAAAATAGCTGACAATTTGTCGTTGTTGTTCGTCTTTATTATTATTATTTACTCAACTACAACTTAGCTTACTGTTGTTGTAGTAGTAGTTTTTTATTTAAATTTTAAAAAATATAAAAATAAAACAAAAATTTTTATACGAAATACGATACAACTTGAAATAAAATACAGCAGCAGCTTTAATATTAAAAACAAAAAAATTAAAAAAAAACGTGTTGTTAACTTAATATTTTCACTTTTTATATGAAAACAAATTTTATGTTTTTTTTTATAGAAAACAAAAAAATCAATTTTTAAAAAAATTATTATAAAGTTTCTTTAAGAAAAATTATTCTATGCAAATTTTTTTTAAACATAAAAGTGATTATTGAATAATTTTAAACCGGATTTGGTGTAAAATATTTTCAATTCAATTTGTTATTAAAAGGTATGTTTTAAAAAGCTTTCAATAATTTTAATTATTTTATAAAAATTAATTTTACTAAACTTGGAAAAGTCCTCTTGTTAGATTTAGTCTTATTAGCTTAATGTTAACACTTTTCGACAGTGTTTTCGCTAGTTACTTAACCAACTCCAAAATACAAGTTATACAAGTCATTCAATGTATTTAGATTCCAATCAATATGTTGATAAAAATTTAGACCGTGCTTTATAGTTTTCCCTAAGGCAAGTAATAACTCCATAAGTTTTGAGAACTGTGGGCCGGTTTTATAGTTAACACTAAGTGACAATTTCATAAAAATTTCAAAACTTAAGTGCAATTTTTTGTCTTTAGTGCGAACTACAAAACCCAGCCTATGTGAAATTTAAAAACTTAACTAAAATTGTTACTCTTAGAGAGATCTGTAACATCCAGCTTAAGTTATTAAGCATAAATAAACCTATTTAAGAACAAAGACCGATAAATTTGAGAAACACATTATATTTCGAAATATGTATCTCAAAATAACACTTAAAGAAAGGCTACTTATGAAGTTTGAACGGCCTCTAACGAGCCTGCTATGTGTTTCTTTTGAAAACAAAATTTTAGTGAAAAAACCGTATATACCGATCTATGTCCAATCTTTAGAAATCTAATTTTTCTATGTGTTCCTGAGGAACGTAATATCTTTATTATCCTCGGACTCAAAATAATTTGATCTAATTTCGATGAAAGCGTGGCAATGACAGGAAATGTGTTGCAGCATTTTACTGTCCACTCAGCATGCTCTTCATTAGTCTAAATCCGTACGACTAATTTTGTATAGTTGTGTCTGTATCATCATACTTACCTCGGACTTAATCATTTTGAAGAGGCTTCACGGAATGCTATCGTTGGGTTTGCTCTATTGTATTATTCCAAGTAGAGGTATGGGATTCTCTTGCTCATGTTTTAAATCGGATATCGTTGAGTCGAACGGTTTTGTTAACATCTTAAGACCGAACAGAGTTTATCGTAAAGAGAAGGGAACTAAATCGAATTTAGTTATTTTTGTAGTTCAGTTCTAGTTCAGTTCAGTTCTAGTTCAGTTCAGTTCTAGTTCAGTTCTAGTTCAGTTCTAGTTCAGTTCCAGTTCAGTTCTAGTTCAGTTCTAGTTCAGTTCTAGTTCAGTTCTAGTTCAGTTCTAGTTCAGTTCTAGTTCAGTTCTAGTTCAGTTCTAGTTCAGTTCAGTTCTAGTTCAGTTCTAGTTCAGTTCTAGTTCAGTTCTAGTTGAGTTCTAGTTCAGTTCTAGTTCAGTTCTAGTTCAGTTCTAGTTCAGTTCTAGTTTTAGTTCAGTTCTAGTTGAGTTCTAGTTCAGTTCTAGTTCAGTTCTAGTTCAGTTCTAGTTCAGTTCTAGTTCAGTTCTAGTTCAGTTCTAGTTCAGTTCTAGTTCAGTTCTAGTTCAGTTCTAGTTCAGTTCTAGTTCAGTTCTAGTTCAGTTCTAGTTCAGTTCTAGTTCAGTTCTAGTTCAGTTCTAGTTCAGTTCTAGTTCAGTTCTAGTTCAGTTCTAGTTCAGTTCTAGTTCAGTTCTAGTTCAGTTCTAGTTCAGTTCTAGTTCAGTTCTAGTTCAGTTCTAGTTCAGTTCTAGTTCAGTTCTAGTTTAGTTCTAGTTCAGTTCTAGTTCAGTTCTAGTTCAGTTCTAGTTCAGTTCTAGTTCAGTTTTAGTTCAGTTCTAGTTCAGTTCTAGTTCAGTTCTAGTTCAGTTTTAGTTCAGTTCTAGTTCAGTTCTAGTTCAGTTCTAGTTCAGTTCTAGTTCAGTTCTAGTTCAGTTCTAATTCAGTTCTAGTTCAGTTCTAGTTCAGTTCTAGTTCAGTTCTAGTTCAGTTCTAGTTCAGTTCTAGTTCAGTTCTAGTTCAGTTCTAGTTCAGTTCTAGTTCAGTTCTAGTTCAGTTCTAGTTCAGTTCTAGTTCAGTTCTAGTTCAGTTCTAGTTCAGTTCTAGTTCAGTTCTAGTTCAGTTCTAGTTCAGTTCTAGTTCAGTTCTAGTCAGTTCTAGTTCAGTTCTAGTTCAGTTCTAGTTCAGTTCTAGTTCAGTTCTAGTTCAGTTCTAGTTCAGTTCTAGTTCAGTTCTAGTTCAGTTCTAGTTCAGTTCTAGTTCAGAGTTCAGTTCTAGTTCAGTTCTAGTTCAGTTCTAGTTCAGTTCTAGTTCAGTTCTAGTTCAGTTCTAGTTCAGTTCTAGTTCTAATTCAGTTCTAGTTCAGTTCTAGTTCAGTTCTAGTTCAGTTCTAGTTCAGTTCTAGTTCAGTTCTAGTTCAGTTCTAGTTCAGTTCTAGTTCAGTTCTAGTTCAGTTCTAGTTCAGTTCTAGTTCAGTTCTAGTTCAGTTCTAGTTCAGTTCTAGTTCAGTTCTAGTTCAGTTCTAGTTCAGTTCTAGTTCAGTTCTAGTTCAGTTCTAGTTCAGTTCTAGTTCAGTTCTAGTTTAGTTCTAGTTCAGTTCTAGTTCAGTTCTAGTTCAGTTTTAGTTGAGTTTTAGTTCAGTTCTAGTTCAGTACTAGTTCAGTCTTAACTCACTTATTGGCTACGGCCAGATTTCCTACAGTTTTTTGTTTATTATTTTGTTACAAAATTTAACATAAACTAATGATGAATATTTTTTATATAGTTTTATTTAAAAAATGCCCACCGTGTTAATGCGGATTCTAAACAACAGCATATAATTTATTAAAAGGTCAATAACTAAAGGAGAATTTTTGTTCTTTGGTAGCTATATGACAACGCGTTAAAAAAAAAAGAAATTAATGGAATTTATAATCAAGAAATACGTGCATTGAATAACGATTTATTCAAAAACACTTTAGAAACGTAAAAAGAAAACTTGCATTCTCAATGCACAACGGTCGCCTAAGGCATTTGAAAAAAGTGTTGGTTAGTGTCTAGTTAAATAGGAAAGAATTTTTATGAAAAAGGAAAATATAATGAAAAAATTATTAAAAACCATTTTTTAATAGAATTAAAAAAACTGAAAATAGACCTAGAATATTAACAAGCTATTTTCTTATACTTAAGCTATATCCTTGTTAAATTTTTTTTTTAAATTCTAAAAGTAACTACAGTTAACCTAAAGAACTCAGGGTTTTAAACCTGTTTGTCTGTGATATTTTATTAAAAATCTATAGACGGATTCAAGGCCGTTGAGTTGTAGATTTAAAAAAAAAAATTCACATTTAAAAAATATTTATGGCTAATTTTTCCTTATATTCTTTTTCATACTCTCATATATTTATTAACGTTTTACAATAATTTCAAAACTTGCAAAGTAGATTTAATTGCGAGTTTAAGTCTTAAATAACTCAAAGTTTAAACCTAAGCTCCATGGTAGTTGTTGTAAACTAGCAAAACGTATGTGTGTAATTTGAAATGTGTTTGAATAAATTTTCTTTTTATTTATTGAGAGTTTTGAACAGAAAAAACAAGTATTTCTCTGAAGTTATTTTTGTTTTCGTTAAGTAAATATAGTTTTTTATGTTTTATTTGTTTTATTTTTTATTTATAAATATTTTTGTTCATTGTTTGCTAACTTGAGGTTTTTGTTTTTTTTTTTTGCCAATTTGTTTTGCATTGCTTACTTAAGGTGTTAGTGACTGAGGTTTAAATCTAGTGACTGGCTATTTTTATTTAGTAGTTTTTATGCTAAATAGTTAAGTCGTTGAAAATAGTACCGTCGTCTACTCTACGGTTTTAAACTTCAGTACACGTTCGTTCTATGGAATTTTGTTTGGTAAAATACAAAATCAAATAAAACGAAAACAAAAATAGTCTGAAATATAAAAAAATATTTAATAACGTACTTATTGGCGTCATATATTCCTCATAACTGTGGGTAAAATTTATTTTAATGCTTAAAAACACTTGGCTAAATAAACAAGTATTTACATACGGTTTTTTGTTTATAATTTTATTATATTATTAATATTTTTAATATCTTTTTGCCAAATTTAATTCAAAATGAGTGTTTAAATACAAACACATTTGGTATGATAAATAGTTGCTACTAGTTACTTATATAATCCAAAGTAATGCAAATGGTAATGCTAAGGTCCTTCGGTTAGGCCCTATTGCATTTTAATTGTACAGTTCTAGTTCAGTTCTAGTTCAATTCTAGTTTAATTCTAGTTCAGTTCTAGTTCAGTTCTAGTTCAGTTCTAGTTCAGTTCTAGTTCAGTTCTAGTTCAGTTCTAGTTCAGTTCTAGTTCAGTTCTAGTTCAGTTCTAGTTCAGTTCTAGTTCAGTTCTAGTTCAGTTCTAGTTCAGTTCTAGTTCAGTTCTAGTTCAGTTCTAGTTCAGTTCTAGTTCAGTTCTAGTTCAGTTCTAGTTCAGTTCTAGTTCAGTTCTAGTTCAGTTATAGTTCAGTTAAAGTTCAGTTCAGTTCAGTTCTAGTTCAGTTCTAGTTCAGTTCTAGTTCAGTTCTAGTTCAGTTCTAGTTCAGTTCTAGTTCAGTTCTAGTTCAGTTCTAGTTCAGTAGTTCAGTTCTAGTTCAGTTCTAGTTCAGTTCTAGTTCAGTTCTAGTTCAGTTCTAGTTCAGTTCTAGTTCAGTTCTAGTTCAGTTCTAGTTCAGTTCTAGTTCTAGTTCCGTTCTAGTTTAGTTCTAGTTCAGTTCTAGTTCAGTTCTAGTTCAGTTCTAGTTCAGTTCTAGTTCAGTTCTAGTTCAGTTCTAGTTCAGTTCTAGTTCAGTTCTAGTTCAGTTCTAGTTCAGTTCTAGTTCAGTTCTAGTTCAGTTCTAGTTCAGTTCTAGTTCAGTTCTAGTTCAGTTCTAGTTCAATTCTAGTTCAGTTCTAGTTCAGTTCTAGTTCAGTTCTAGTTTAGTTCTAGTTCAGTTCTAGTTCAGTTCTAGTTCAGTTCTAGTTCAGTTCTAGTTCAGTTCTAGTTCAGTTCTAGTTCAGTTCTAGTTCAGTTCTAGTTCAGTTCTAGTTCAGTTCTAGTTCAGATCTAGTTCAGTTCTAGTTCAGTTCTAGTTCAGATCTAGTTCAGTTCTAGTTTAGTTCTAGTTCAGTTCTAGTTCAGTTCTAGTTCAGTTCTAGTTCAGTTCTAGTTCAGTTCTAGTTCAGTTCTAGTTCAGTTCTAGTTCAGTTCTAGTTCAGTTCTAGTTCAGTTCTAGTTCAGTTATAGTTCAGTTATAGTTCAGTTATAGTTCAGTTCTAGTTCAGTTCTAGTTCAGTTCTAGTTCTAGTTCAGTTCTAGTTCAGTTCTAGTTCAGTTCTAGTTCAGTTCTAGTTCAGTTCTAGTTCAGTTCTAGTTCAGTTCTAGTTCAGTTCTAGTTCAGTTCTAGTTCAGTTCTAGTTCAGTTCTAGTTCAGTTCTAGTTCAGTTCTAGTTCAGTTCTAGTTCAGTTCTAGTTCAGTTCTAGTTCAGTTCTAGTTCAGTTCTAGTTCAGTTCTAGTTCAGTTCTAGTTCAGTTCTAGTTCAGTTCTAGTTCAGTTCTAGTTCAGTTCAGTTCTAGTTCAGTTCTAGTTCAGTTCTAGTTCAGTTCTAGTTCAGTTCTAGTTCAGTTCTAGTTCAGTTCTACTAGTTCTACTATAGTTCAATTCTAGTTTAGTTTTACTTACCCAATAACTAACTGCATTGGGGGCGAAAAATATTTTCTTTTAAAACAAATCCCTCTTAGATCATTAATAATAAAAAATTCAATAAACATTTAATTTAACAAATTTCTAACAAATGAATCGACAACGAACTACTTACTATCTTCTTTCTTTTTGTCATAATTTCAGTTTGAAGCCAATAAACCCACAACAGGATTTTTGTTTTAATTTCTTATCTAATCAATAACAACAACTCTACACCCGACTAAGGTAAGTTTTGAAATTCCAAATATTTTTTTCTCACCGTATTTATTAACGACCATAAAAATATGCTCGTAACATACTGTGAAATTTCTTGTAACATATTTCGTTTTGTGGGTAATGCCCTGTAAATCTATAGAGATTGAGAGAAATCCATTTTTACGATCAAATTTTTAATAAGTGTGATCATATTAAATAACAAAAAAACAAAAACTTAAATTGGACAAAAAAAAAAAAAAAAAAAAAAAAGAAATTACCATTTATAATTTCGAAATAAAAATTAATTTTCAAGTTTGTAAAGTGTTATCTTCTTGGGCTCTAGTCTATCGATTTGTAACATTTATTAAAGGGTCTTTTCATTCATAGAGAGTGGATTTCAATAGTGGTGGTGGGTCATAAAAATTTGATCATAAACTCGTATCATATTAATAAATTCTAAATGTGTGTGTTAAAATAAAAGAAAAGTTTATTTATAAATTTAATGGTTACATAAAAATTTAGAATTTTATTAAATTAAATCATAAAAAAATCAACTAGAATAAGCAGTTAAAGTTGCTTTTGATATAAAAATGTTCACCTTTTTAAAAAGACACTTTTCGGCTTTTATCAAAGTTGTGTTGAGAGTAAAGGAAAAACTTAAGTATTAGTTAAATGCATTAGTTTTGAATAAAAGTCAAAGTTAAGCATTAAGATTAAGTAGAAAATGGATTATAAAAACCTGCGATTGTGGTAAAAATTAGACTATGTAAACTACGTCAGTACTAGTTCAGTTCTCGTTCAGTTCTTTTTCAGTTCTAGTTCAGTTCTAGTTCAGTTCTAGTTCAGTTCTAGTTCAGTTCTAGTTCAGTTCTAGTTCAGTTCTAGTTCAGTTCTAGTTTAGTTCTAGTTCAGTTCTAGTTCAGTTCTAGTTCAATTCTAGTTCAGTTCTAGTACAGTTCTAGTTCAGTTCTAGTTCAATTCTAGTTCAGTTCTAGTACAGTTCTAGTTCAGTTCTAGTTCAGTTCTAGTTCTAGTTCAGTTCTAGTTCAGTTCTAGTTCAGTTCTAGTTCAGTTCTAGTTCAGTTCTAGTTCAGTTCTAGTTCAGTGCTAGTTCAGTTCTAGTTCAGTTCAAGTTCAGTTCTAGTTCAGTTCTAGTTCAGTTCTAGTTCAGTTCTAGTTCAGTTCTAGTTCAGTTCTAGTTCAGTTCTAGTTCAGTTCTAGTTCAGTTCTAGTTCAGTTCTAGTTCAGTTCTAGTTTAGTTCTAGTTCAGTTCTAGTTCAGTTCTAGTTCAGTTCTAGTTCAGTTCTAGTTCGGTTCTAGTTCAGTTCTAGTTCAGTTCTAGTTCAGTTCTAGTTCAGTTCTAGTTCAGTTCTAGTTCAGTTCTTGTTCAGTTCTAGTTCAGTTCTAGTTCAGTTCTAGTTCAGTTCTAGTTCAGTTCTAGTTCAGTTCTAGTTCAGTTCTAGTTCAGTTCTAGTTCAGTTCTAGTTCAGTTCTAGTTCAGTTCTAGTTCAGTTCTAGTTCAGTTCTAGTTCAGTTCTAGTTCAGTTCTAGTTCAGTTCTAGTTCAGTTCTAGTTCAGTTCTAGTTCAGTTCTAGTTCAGTTCTAGTTCAGTTCTAGTTCAGTTCTAGTTCAGTTCTAGTTCAGTTCTAGTTCAGTTCTAGTTCAGTTCTAGTTCAGTTCTAGTTCAGTTCTAGTTCAGTTCTAGTTCAGTTCTAGTTCAGTTCTAGTTCAGTTCTAGTTCAGTTCTAGTTCAGTTCTAGTTCAGTTCTAGTTCAGTTCTAGTTCAGTTCTAGTTCAGTTCTAGTTCAGTTCTAGTTCAGTTCTAGTTCAGTTCTAGTTCAGTTCTAGTTCAGTTCTAGTTCAGTTCTAGTTCAGTTCTAGTTCAGTTCTAGGTCAGTTTAGTTCAGTTCTAGTTCAGTTCTAGTTCTAGATTAGATTTAGTTGAGTTGAAGGTGAGTTCTGATTGAGTTCTAGTTCAGTTCTATTTCAGATCTAATTCAGGTATGGTTCATTTCCACTATGTTCTTATTGAGTTCTAGTGCATTTGAGGGCATTGAGTTTTGATACTGTACGAAGAAAAGAAAATATGTAGATTATTTACTGAAATGTTTTAAATACCAAATAACTCAACTTTGCACTGCCCCTACCCTAACTTTTCTTAATGACTGTTTTATGGCTCTGTTACATATTGTAAACAAATGTCGCCTGTGGTTTTAAATCTGTTTAACAAATATTTCCATAATTTATGTTTGTTTTTCTCTACACAACTTGCCACTAGTAATAAAAAACTAGTTTTAATAGATATTTTTTTTTAAGTTTTACTAGTATGTAGGTATTTCGACAGAAGTTACTGAAAAAAAACTATCAATTTCACTTTCGATTTTTAAGCTAAAATTATGTTTTTTTAGCTATTTGGACAGCAAGCAGAAAAAAAAAACAACGAAATTCCTTAAAATACATAAAAATAATACTAGATATTTTATAGCAAAAGCCAAAAGATGTCATACAGGCAGTGGTGGAGACATTGGGTTTTATACAAGACAAGATCGCATACATAAATACCTTGGCTAGACGCGAACCAGAAAACTATTTAAAGACACAGAGGAAGAAGAAAACAAAGAAACAAAACTCTGAACTGTCTTGCGAAGAAATAAAAAAGAAGAAACTACGACCAGAACAAAGGTTATAAAATGTTGCTAATGTTTTAAGTAAAGAAAAAAACATACTGTCGCTAAATAAACTAATGGGACAGACAGACAAGAAAACGATTTAGAGTTAAACTAAAGAAAAACCAACAGACTATCTAAAAAAATACACATATAAATAAATACTTTTAGTAATATAATTCAAACCCAATAGGAAATTTTTGCAATTTATAAAGAAATTTTTCGTTAAAAACTGAGTGAATTAATTAAAAATCTATTTGTAATCATCAGGGCGTATGATTAATATTAATTCAGAGGTTGGTTTATAAAATTCGCTATAACTTGAGAACTAGAACAGTTATTGAAGAAAATCAAAAGGCTATTAGTAGCTAATATTCTACAGATTTAATACACTATAAAATGTTTTAAGAAATAGCTACATTTTATTAGCCATAACTCAATTTCCTATTAGGTTTTGCAAAAGCAAACAACTACAAGGAAAAAAAAACTCGCAAATTGCAACATGAGACATTATTGCCAACTCTATTGCTGCTGCTGATGCTGCTTGCAACAAATGAAAAAAATTAAGAAAAAAATAACACTCATATGAAAAATAAACAAAAAAAACTGACACATCCAAATAAAAAGATACACACCATCAGTTTGGGATGATGCCTGGCTGCCTCTAGTGCTGCGGCTGCTGCAGTTTGTTGACAACTATTGCAGAAGAACAAGACAGACGACAACAGAAAATGAAATCAAACTGCAACAGCAACAACTTTTAACTTTTATTGTTTAACTGCTCGTTCACTTTGTTGCATTTTTGGTTCATTTTAGACGTCTAGAGAAGCAGGAGGAGGAAGAGGGGGTCTGACAGTCAGTTTCAGTTTCTATTAGTAGGTACTTTCTTCTGGTGACTTCTGTAGTCGTCGTCGTCATCATCATCATTTTATTGTTTTCTTAGTACCTGTTGCTGATCTTCATCTCATTTGTGTTTTGATGATGATCGCACTCACAAAAAGCTTCATTAGTCTTTATGTGGTCAATAGCCAATATTGCAGCTACATCATGAGGTTTATTAGTCCAAACCCATGTCAATTTGCTTGACAGAAATATGAGGAGTATAAAAATAATGATAGTTTTTATTTTGAAATGGAAATTTGTTTAGGTTTTAAATGAAAGTGATCCAAAAACATATGGACATGATTGACAAGTGAAGCTAAACAGATCTAGAATTAAAGATCGAATGGGAATAAATTAAGTTTTTTCTGTTCTAGTTCAGTTCTAGTTCAGTTCTAGTTCAGTTCTAGTTCAGTTCTAGTTCAGTTCTAGTTCAGTTCTAGTTCAGTTCTAGTTCAGTTCTAGTTCAGTTCTAGTTCAGTTCTAGTTCAGTTCTAGTTCAGTTCTAGTTCAGTTCTAGTTCAGTTCTAGTTCAGTTCTAGTTCAGTTCTAGTTCAGTTCTAGTTCAGTTCTAGTTCAGTTCTAGTTCAGTTCTAGTTCAGTTCTAGTTCAGTTCTAGTTCAGTTTAGTCAGTTCTAGTTCAGTTCTAGTCAGTTCTAGTTCAGTTCTAGTTCAGTTCTAGTTCAGTTCTAGTTCAGTTCTAGTTCAGTCTAGTTCAGTTCTAGTTCAGTTCTAGTTCAGTTCTAGTTCAGTTCTAGTTCAGTTCTAGTTCAGTTCTAGTTCAGTTCTAGTTCAGTTCTAGTTCAGTTCTAGTCAGTTCTAGTTCAGTTCTAGTTCAGTTCTAGTTCAGTTCTAGTTCAGTTCTAGTTCAGTTCTAGTTCAGTTCTAGTTCAGTTCTAGTTCAGTTCTAGTTCAGTTCTAGTTCAGTTCTAGTTCAGTTCTAGTTCAGTTCTAGTTCAGTTCTAGTTCAGTTCTAGTTCAGTTCTAGTTCAGTTCTAGTTCAGTTATAGTTCAGTTCTAGTTCAGTTCTAGTTCAGTTCTAGTTCAGTTCTAGTTCAGTTCTAGTTCAGTTCTAGTTCAGTTCTAGTTCTAGTTCTTGTTCAGTTCTAGTTCTAGTTCAGTTCAGTCAGTTCTAGTTCAGTTCTAGTTCAGTTCAGTTCAGTTCAGTTCAGTTCAGTTCAGTTCAGTTCAGTTCAGTTCTAGTTCAGTTCTAGTTCAGTTCTAGTTCAGTTCTAGTTCAGTTCTAGTTCAGTTCTAGTTCAGTTCTAGTTCAGTTCTAGTTCAGTTCTAGTTCAGTTCTGTTCAGTTCTAGTTCAGTTCTAGTTCAGTTCTAGTTCAGTTCTAGTTCAGTTCTAGTTCAGTTCTAGTTCAGTTCTAGTTTAGTTCTAGTTCAGTTCTAGTTCAGTTCTAGTTCAGTTTCTAGTTCAGTTCTAGTTCAATTCTAGTTCAATTCTAGTTCAGTTCTGGTTCAGTTCTTATTCACTT